TGTATCTTCAAGATAGATTTATCAATGTTAAGAGGAAAGTGTAATGGAATTTAATAATTTGTTTGTCTAAACATTATTTTCCGGTGTGAAAGATGGGTGACGATATTGCGGCCGAGCCTCATCGAAACATCCTCTCTTCCGTAATGGGGGTAATTTTATCATTGTGAACAAAATGTCTCATGCATTCAGAAGCAAGCGACCATCTGAGATGGGTGTTCACTGTCTATTTAATCTATAAAAGGAGCTTTGAAATTGAGCGTCTTTGAAAACTATTCAAGACATAAATAAGATCAAGGCGTTGAGGCATACGCTCGTTTTTAAGGTTATTTAGAAGTACAACTCATTTATGCTGTGCACTGTATGTTACACCTGAATATAGCACAACATGAAGGATTTATAAAATCTGCTCAAAAATAAATAATTTAATAAATGATAAATTATTAGATAACTGATGCTTTGATTGTATTTTTAACATTATTTTAGCTATATAAATTACATATTAACACACACACACACACACTCACACACACACATAAATGTATAATTATGTGTGTGTGTGTGTGTGTGTGTGTGTATATGAAGAGTTCAGATGCAAAAGCCTCTCAGTGCTGTCTGAAATTTTCTTTAAAAATGAGCATTTTTATCAGGCTCTTATGTTTAGGTTCAGTAATTTTACTTTAATGGCAATGTATAGGTCCTTTTCTATGCCATTAAAGTGACATAACTGAACATAAATATAGGAGAAGAAAATTTCAGACGGCACTTAGAGGCTTTTGAATCTGAACTCTTCATATATATAACCCAATTAAGCATAGCAATTTAAGCAATTTACATAATTAAAATAATGTAAATTGCTACGCTAAAGCAATTTAGCATATATATATATATATATATATATATGTGTGTGTGTGTGTGTGTGTGTGTGTGGTACGGCTCATTTGATTGAGCTCACTAAAATGACCCAATAATGGTTTCATCATTTTTACAGATTTTCCATGTTCTTAACTCAAGAATCTGTGCTATGCTACTTAATGACACCTAAAATATTCACAGTGTTTATGTCCATAGACCCAAACTCAACTGTCTTGAATGGAAACTAACTTTGTTCAAACAGGCAAAATAGCCTACAACGGAAACGAAAACCTTCTTTTTCCTATACGTAAAAGGCTATTTGACCCCTGCCCTTTTCGAGACTGCTCACTTTGTTTTTTTTATTATTTTTTTTCTTGTCCAACTTTTCATGATTTTGTGCCCATATTTAGATGGTCTCAAAGGACCACTGAAATTTCATGGGCATTTGGGCAGTGAAACTGTCTGGATTCTTGCCACCAAACTTAGAGCAGTGAAACCTTTGAGCTACTTGTGATCCAGTGTACCACATAGTGCAAAAATAATGAATTCTGGTAAACATTAATTTCAAACAAGCAGAATTAATAGAAGTGTCACCTGTTTTGTGCTATGACATAAATTGAGCAAAATGATTCAAATAATGGGACTCTCAATGTGTAAGAATATTTAACTGTCAAAAACACAATATATATACAATCTTTTAAAATTCTTTACCTGTTAATTTAGAATTAAAATGGTGCTCTGTACTTAAAAATTACAATTGCACATTTGGTTCAAACAAATTAACAGCATTTGAAACTTTGCAGATCTTCTGCACCTGTTCTGCAGTTCAATAAATATTTTATCTTTGTCTCTGAAGCCACAGATGAATTTTGTGCTACTCTGCGGTGCTAGTGATGCTATTTTATATTTGCAGAGACACATATTAACCTTCCGATTGCATATTATGTACATTTTATATACATTTGCGAAATAAAATGAACGTAAAAAGTATAAACTGACCAAATGCATAATATATTTGCACATGGCTACAATTTGGATCCATGCTGGCAGTCATAAACTCTACTCAAAAACAATAATTTATGATAATAATTCAACCTGGGAAAATGATACCAGCATTGCTTTATTGTTAACATTTATTTAAATAAATGTAGACTACGCAACTTCAAGATAAGATTTGAAAATTGCACACTTGACTTCCCGTGTTAAGAACATTCTTTACAACACGCAACATCTGCTCAGACAGCCCTCAAAAGTGTTGCTTTACATTCATACATATATGCCAGCAAGATGTTACAAATCAGGCTGATATCTACAATCTTAATTTAATGTAATGGTTATGTGTCTGTATGATATTTGACCTCTGAACATTCATTTGCTAATATGTCTCCTCATTTGCACGTTACATGTCTGACATTTTGATCGACCTTGAAAGGTTGTGAATTTGCCTCAGGATAAGATAAGAACAGACGGTTCTTGGCAGCCAGAGCCAAAAAAAAAAAAGCCAGAATAATCTTATTAAACACTCACCGTGGCCTGTAGCTGAAATCCAGGAAGAGAGAGATAGAAAGAAAAAGAGAGAGAGTGAGAAAACAAGAGTGGAGACACGGCATGGATGTTCTGGTGAAGGAGTTATATGTATTTAGTCTGCCGAAGTGATGAAGCTCTCTGATCTGGCTTGTACGCTAGATGGCTTCTGCTTGCCAAGTTTGTGTGTGTGTGTGTGTGTGTGTGAGCTTGAGAGAAAACGTGTGAACTTATGTGCGAGTATGGGTCTCTGTGTGTGTTTCATATATGCACACAGGTGAACTGTGTGGGCTGCTCGAATCACTCAAATTTGCATTCCCTTCGGGCTTCTCAGAAACCGTAACTTACTTTCTCACCCAAGTCTTGGGATGTAACTGCTGAATGCTTTGAAAAGCTGTGCTGCAGACTAATGCCTAAATTTTTTTGCATTCAATTGGTTTAGGGACCCATTAAGACATTTGAGACATATATTTGGAGCAGTGCACAGTGAAAACTCTCTTGAAGAAAATATCAATAAATGGTTTTATCATCGCACACAAAAAGAATAAAATAAATCTTGAAATTGGAAAACATCAAAGCCAGAATCAGAACTTAATTTACCTCATGCTCTGTTGAGTCTGTTTAGTGTATTTATGTTTGGGTCCCCGAAGACCCCTAATGTCTTAAGTGTATAATAATTAATAATAACAATAATAATAATATTAATAATAAAAATTAAAATTTTTAAATACTTTTTTTTGGACCTAATAAAAACATTTGACTGATTGAAATGATTGAGGTTTTAATTGTTTTTTCTCTCTCCATAAAGTAGACATACACTTTTTAAAAGAAATGTAACTGTTTTCCAATATTCACTGTAAAACATGATTTTTCTAAGTTGTAAATAAAACAAATATTATTGGAGTACGTTGGAGTATGTCATAGGCTATGTGAATATACTTTGCATTTATTGATGTTTTTACCTAGAGTCTTGGTGACCTAAAACAGAACCCTTTTGAAAATGTTTAACAAGTTAAAATTGTGTTCATAATAAGTTCTCAAAAGATTAAGAAAAGTCATGAAGTATCAACTTGATTCTTCAATGTTATGTTATTTTAGATTAAAAGAGCCTCTTCTCTTAGACCCAAACCTGACAAGAACGTTTTATTTCACGCCTGTTCTTCATTTCTATGTGAGAAGTTTCTCTGAGGGTTCATAACTGTTGACGACAGCGCATCTGGTATCCGGCTCTGTTTTGGGGGGGGGGGTTAATTCCGATATCCAACAGGTGATCGAGGCGGCCTCCTCTGAGCACGAGCTCATCAAAGCGAATGTAACGGTGCGACGGCGCACAGAGCGCGATTGTTCTTCGAAGTGGCTCCTCCCTGCGTTCAGAGTCTGTCTTCCTGCAAATGAGCGCTGTGCAGAAAGCGCTACAGCATGGGGAAGTCCGATTCATTTTTAAAGAATCGATTCGCTCGGACGGTTCGTTTCAAATTAAGCTTTCAAAAAAGATTCGAACTGTTCCAAGAATAAGTCGCCGCGTGGCGTTTTACGTTTGTTCTGTAATGCTCTTATTTGCCACAAAGTGTTCGAAAGTTGTAGAGATATTCTAAAAGATTTGCGTCAAATGCTGTGTTTTTGGGGAGAGCAGGAAGTGTTCGTTGTAACGCCATTAGTTTAACAACTAGAAATGAGCCACACGGAGAAATTACTAGCCTAATATAGACTTCTCCTGACATTCCTCCTGAGCCATGAGAGTAAAAACTATACGTCCTTTGTTACAAATATAAATAATTTATAGGACATTCTCAGGTAAGAAAGCACCATATTCATTATTGGATCATAATGTAATAAGCGATCATGCTAATGAATATTAAATAAAGAATGAATATGAATTAATATGCTAATACATATTAATAGAACTGGTATTATCTGAATCAGCAGGTTTTTCTCTTTAATTGGATTTATACACTGCCTGTCACCGAAGTAGACACGCCCCCTTTCCCACAACCTCGCGCTTTAGCGTTACCAGAGCCATTAAAAAACAATGTTTCTGTCAAGCTCGTCATCTTTCATCCCCTTTAAAGTTCTTAACTCTCTCCAACGATGAAAAGCTTTACCGACATTCAATCTCGTCGTTGTTTTCCTCGGCTTTCCTTTTCCTTTTAGGACGTGTAGGCCAAGTAGCTAGTAAGCATTTTGCACCCTCCAAACTCACGTAAACCGCGTTGAATTCAGAGTAGCCTACTGACATTTTACTGTTACATACGACTGTCACAGATAGGCGTGATATCTCAGGATAGTTAGACTATTTCCGTTATATTTTTCACTTATTTCTGCTCATCTTTCCATAAAAATGGCTTGCTGCACTTTTAATGTATTAATTATTTCCAATTTGTTTCTGTTAAAGTTTGTCCTAATTTTGTCGCTTTTATTTAAACTGTTCAAAATGAAGTAGGTTGGGAATAATGAAGGATAATAATTATGATTTTTAATTATGCTTATTATTACTTAAGGTAATCAATCACCAGTGTGAGACGCGTCTACCTTACCGTGTGTGAATCGGCTCAATCGAATCCCTAAAAAGAACCTGTTCAAAAGAATGATTCGGTCACGAATCGGACATCACCAAAGCGCAGTCCGAACTCAGTTCCTCTCTTCAGCCGTGAGACAGAAGGAAGCAGAGAAACCACGCAGCACCAGAGCACAGTTCACCGGCTCATCTCAGTATGTGGCAGAGAACTACGTGGTGTTGAAGGAGGACGACAAAACAGACGGTGGTCGGCAAATCTCAGGGTCGCCAAATTGCCCGTTCCTGGACAAATTAAACGGTAAGGTCGTTGTCAAGTCATTGTTTCTTTATACCTATGTTATAGCAGAATGCAAATTAATGCATTGCAACCGTGCATTATTATCATTCTAATTTTTAATGCAAACCTTTTAGGGATACACATGCATGTCTGTTCTGCTGTCAGTTTGTTACATGCAGTTATATGAAACTAAAATGATGCAGGCAGGCAGCAGCGCTGTCAGACCAGCTGGTGATCACTCTAGCAGAAAGCAGAAATCTCTCTTTTGTCTGTGGGGTTCAGAGTCGAAGGGTTTGCCAAGAGTCTCTGAGGAACGCGTCCAGTTCCCTATAGGCTACTTAATAAATGATCTGCGCTTGTAATATTTCCATTAATGCCTGATTTCAGCTACTATCAAATGGAACGACTGGTAGACAAAAAAAATAAAAAGAAGAATTATAGATCAACAGTCTCCCCCATGAAATATGTAGTTATTATACAAGCATAATACTCCACCATTTGGCTTTTAGAGACATAACCGTTTGAAAGTTGGATAAATTATGTAGTTTGAATGCGTAAGTTGGCAACGAGGACGCCCAGGAGGCCTGCTTCCTGTCAGGTAGAGCAGTGGTTCCCAACTCTGTTCTTGGAGGCCCCCCAACAATACACATTTTAGACGTCTCCCTAATCAAACGCACCTGATTCAACTCATCAGTTTGTTCCTGTCAGGTAGAGCAGTGGTTCCCAACTCTGTTCTTGGAGGCCCCCCAACAATACACATTTTAGACATCTCCCTAATCAAACGCACCTGATTCAACTCATCAGTTTGTTAGTGGAGGCTCCAAGAATTGAAATGGGTGTGTCAGATGAGACATCCAAAATGGGTGCTGTTGGGGGGCCTCCAGGAACAGGTTTGGGAACCGCTGAGGTAGACCGAGCGCTTCTCCTGGAGCAACTCCATGCCTGTCCGTGTGCATCTACCTGTGATGGAGAGAGCTTGGCGAGCTTGGGGTAGCTGCTGGAAACTACGAGTCTTATATTTAGACTTTGATATCAGACATAGACTTATGTTTGTTATTTACGATGGTTACTCACAGAGCGTCTTGATTTGCAGATAACTTTTTTATCTAAAGTAACAAGAACTGGTCCATGGTTCCCACACTTATGGAAAATCAGTAAATATCGGGTAAAAAAGAAAAAGAAAAAAAAAGTTTCCAGGTCTTGAAATTGGAATGGAAATTAATCCATGAAAATCATGGAAATTCATGGGTCTAATAGTGTGGGAAATCTGCTGTTTTTCCTGGAGCTGCCAAATGCTTTAGTTAAATCTTAGGGTTATCACTGGTTGATCCATTAAACCAGGGGTTTTCAAACTGAACAAAAAAAAACTGTGTAAAAAAAAAATCAGTAAGTTAAAATTAAATAAATAAATAACTAAAAAGATTTAAATAAAAAAATTATACATTAAGAGATAATACAAACAGTACAGTACTATAGTGAGTAAAAACAACAATGTAATGTAGAAATGATAGAAATGATAGATGTATTTGTAATATACTATACACAATATACTATTCGTCTATACAAGAAAATATAGCTGCCTTTTGAATTTTAGCATGAGGGTCTCTCACACAAGGATGATCATATTTGGGGGTCTGTGACATCTAAAAGATTGAAAACCCCGCACTAGACTACCACCCTCTACTGGTGAACACCATGAACATTGTAAGAAAACTGAAGAGGCTCATTGTTTAGGCTGTTAAATAAACAATATATTGTTTTTTTTCAAGGGAAAACAAAGTGGGTTTATAGGGTTGGTGTAGTAAAATCTGTCTGGTTCAGGGGTGTGTGGTTTGTGAGCTGACTAAAATGTTCATGCTCCACAGCCGGTCATGAATAGCTCTCACATTGTGGTCTCCGTTGATGGATTCAGAGTTCATTACCGGTTGTTACATAAGTCACTTCTGCTGACAGTGCATTGGTGATCATTATCTTAATTCTCTTGTTTGTGCTTTGTTTGTTTGAAAGAGCAAGCGGAAAATGAATTGAGAAGTGTGATACACCAGCTTTTTGTTTTTGGGGTCTTTCCCAGTTTGAATCCTCTGGTTTGTGTAAATCAAGTCTTGTTGTGAGTGGGTAAGACAGTGTTTGTGAAGGCCAGTGGTCTGTGGCTCTTTCGTACTGTTACAGTGCAGTGTCAAGCTTAAGTGAGGAGGCTTTCTGCTCGTATGTCATCCAAATGGAGATGGAGAGAGACTGCCTAGTTTCCAGGATTGAGGATTGAGACCCAAGATTTCTCCATTGCAGAGCGGGCTTCACATTCAGTCTGTCATATGGGTTTCATTATCAGAGTTTTACTCGTGCCTGATGGCTCCCCATCTCAAGAGTAGTCTGAAAGCAAAAAATGCTTCTTGCCATCTCAGATCACACATATTCTTGTACCTCATGTCTCCGCTAACAGTTTACAAGGCCCTTCCTGAAATTTCATGTCACATTTAGTGTAGCTCGCAGATGCTTCTCGTTCTTGATTTGCCCCAAGAGCAGCCAATTATGAAGTTCAACTCCTTCAAGGCCACAGCTGATTTTTTGGAGAAGATGTTCTTTACGGGGTCATGTCTTCCTGTGGCCTCTGTGTCTTGAGCTCCTTGTCCTGCTTTGTAGGCCGGTGTTTTTTTTTTTTTGTCACAAAACAGACTGCAGATGGACAAGTGAATCATTCACTGGAAAAGTTTAGTTATTTCCTCTAATTTACACAATTTCTGTTATATTGTTTTATATAATGGGGATAAGAACTGAATGATTCTGATTCCTTTTAATGTTTTTGAATCCATTTATGACTCCATTAATGACTCTTTCAATTTGCCATGACTATACATAGATATAACAAATAACCAACAAACTATTAATTTATTTATTTATCTTGAACCAACTCATTAGAGTCTTTCATTCAGGAAATTGTGCTGTTTGTTTTTGATTCACTGAAAGGAAACGGCTCAAAGTATTAATTCGTTTTACAATCGGATAACACTAGTTGCACTGTAACTACATATTAAACAAATATAACACTGGTCATGCCTTAACTGTGTATTAAGCAAATAAAAATGTATCCATTTTGTTGATTTATTCATTTGATTTACCAAAAAGAACCAAGTCATCATTAGAGTGATTTGTTTGGGAATTGGTTTACACTGGTTGTGCTGTAGGATTTTGATTCACTAAAATTAAATGCCTCAAAAGATTTACTCATTCCGGAAACAGACAACACTGGTCATGCTGTCTATTTTACACTGTAGATTCAGTATCGTTGTTGTGGCATGGTTGAATTAATAGTGCAGAGAAAGTATTTTAGTACAATATATTGTTGAACGCATACAGTCTGTGAGAAATATTTACTCTAAAAATAGAAAAGAAACTAACAATTTTCAGTTCCCAACACTTATTATAACATAATGTTGGCCTTTTGGGTTGATCAAGCCTCAAAGCCACATAGTTCGTGACACTTCGTGACCTTCTTTGGCAAGATATAATATAACAAGACTCTAACAAGAGGTAATGCAAGTAAAGAGGCTTTGCCAAGCAGGAAATAACAGTAAAAAGCCTGGAGGGTTGAAAGGGTGTGGAGAGCACAGGGGCATGTAGTCCATCACTATTTGTAGGGGACAAAGACCTCTTAGTGTTTTAAGATTACTTGCTGCACTTAAGCTGTTTCAATGCAGCCCATAGGAAATTAAGGGAACTTAAAACCAGCATCAGCCTCTGAGGCCACTTTTGGGTCCTGACCTATTTGTTGCTGCTATTTTTTTCAATGGAGACAGAGAGTGTTTGGTTTTTAATGGAGGAGAATGTAGAATATTGTCAGGCAGTTTAACATGGCTTATTTTGTGGCAACAGAAATCTTGGATGAGTTTCACACAGTGGTTTCAAATAGCTTTCCAAAACAGTCTTTCCGTAGAAATTAGACAAAGCTCCCTCACAAACACAGACACACACTTCTTTGGCCATTGTCTTTTTTTTTTTGTGGTACTAGTCAGAAATAGTTATCCTTGATGGACAAATTAATGTAAAAACTCTATATTCTTTCTCCCACCCTTTCCCAAATTTTCTCCTTTTCCTCCTCCTTTAACCCCTCTAAACTTTTTTACCCTTTCTTTCTTGAGTTTGAGTTCATCTTTTTTTTCTTCAAGAGGCAACTTGTATCCTTATGCTGCCAAATCATTTCCCATCTGTTCTTGATTACCTTTGTCTGCACTTGGTTTCTCTTCACCCATCAGAGCTTGTATGGCATCTCTTTCTACCTCTTCCCAGAAAGCATGGAGTGAGGGATCGACAGATAATGAAAGAAACAAGGAGTGTGCAAAGGAGGTAGAATAGCTTTTGTTGATGTTGATCATATTGCTGATAAAGAAAATGGAAAAATGTCTCAAACTTGTGCATTGCCATGTTTGAAATGGCATAATAACATACTACTCATATTATTCTTGCAGTATGCAATGTATATACTGAGCAAAATATGCCATTTTTCTTTATGCATGACATTTGAATGAAAGTGTGGAAAGTGAAAGACCAATGAAAGTGCAGTATACAATCAAATCACACTGCAAGGAAGATGTTATCCCACAATGCAATGCACTTAACCTAAAATTTTCAGTGGGATGAATGAAGTGCAGATCATTTCAACTGTGATTGCTTGAATTAACCTTCCATTTCCAGTGTGACAGAGGCAATATCAACCACAGTTTTTACAACAATGTATTTTCTTTACTTTATATGTGATTATTACATGAATTTCTACAGTAAATTGCAAAAATAACCAGTTTTCTGAGTTGATTAAAAAAGTCATTTTGGGTAAAATCATCTGCTAAATAATTAAATGTAACTAATCTAAATACATTTTGTGTGTGTGTGTGTGTGTGTGTATATGTAACATGACAACTATGTTGTGTGTGCACTCGCATACTACGATCAAAAATAGTAGGCATTATACAGTATGAACAACAGTATGCATTACATAGCCGAACACAGCCTATGGCTGCCTCTCTCACATTGTGTCCCATTTGAAACAGTGGTGCCACACGAGTCCCTCTTGTGGTATTTCTCAAATTAGGACATTTTGTTTTATAGCCAGCCCCAGACGTCAGATTGGCCTCCTGACCCCACAATGCTTTCCTTTCTTTTGCACTCTTCCGGTGAAGGACAGAGTGAAGAGAAACAGTGGCCCGCAGTTTAGAAAGCGGTTTTCCCCTTTCCTCTTGAATGTGAAAGGAGGAATGATTGATTAGCTCTAGCAACAGGATGCAAACAACAGCCTCCCAAGGCAATATGTTTGACCGGTCAGTCAGAGAGGAACCATTTAGCCAAGAAACTCGCTGTTCTTCTTTTCTTTTGCATCTATCTAACATGTTTGTTTTTCAATAGGGAGGCTCTTCATATTTATGATCCCCGGTTATACACATCTTAGAACTGCCCGTCCTCCACCTCCAACCCCAAGAGGCGAAGTGTCAGGAACCACGTAGAAGTGAAGCCCCCATGGCTCCAGAATTCTGTGCGTCACTTTGGTGAGCGTGGGGCCGTCAGAGGGCAGAAGACATGTTGGGACAGAGGGCTGGGCACCGCATTGAAGCTTGCTGTAGTAACCATGGAAACGGTGTGGAGGAGTTTGGCCTTCGTTGGCATCATCGCCATGGTTGCCCGTGGAGTGGCAGAAAGTTGGAGTCCTGAGGAGTTTGCTCAGTCTCAAGGTGAGATTCCTGATTGTTTAATTGTAATGAAGTTTTAGTAAATGGTGTGAAAAATAAGTGTTCATTTCGTTTTGGCCACCATTTGCTGCCGATAAAGTGTATTAAAGGGGGCAGCTGCCATCCTGCTTCGTGTATCGTTCAAAAGTTTTGAAAGAAGTCTCTCATGCGCACCAAAGCTGCATTTATTTGATCAAAGATACAGTAAAAACACTAAAATTGTGAAATATTCTTACACTTTAAAATAGCTGTTTTCTTTTCTAATATATTTTAAAATTGAATTTATTCCCGTGTCAGCAAAGCTGAATTTATCTGAATATTTGTCACATGACCCTTTAGAAAACATTCTGATATTCTGATTTGCTGCTCAGTTTCTTATTATTATCAATGTTGAAAACAGTTGTGCTGCCTAATATTTTGTGGAAACCATGATGCTGTGCCATGTTACTGATGACACTGAATGGTGATACTGATGTATTCTTCAAGATTTTTTGATGAAATGAAAGATGAAAAAAAAAAACATTTATTTGAAATAAAATTACTTTGAAATTGATCACTTTTGATCAAGTTAATGCATCCTGGCTAAATAAAAGTATAAAAAAAAATCTTTCTGAATGGTAAAGTAACTGAAAAACTATATTAAACATAATTAGCAATATCTCATAATTAGCAAAATGGACTACTATTTCAATTCTTAACCTTCTAAAATAAACTTTCAAACCCTGGGCGGTTCCTGACGGTGGTTTGTTGAATCAAAAGTGAAGTCTTTATTCTTTTAATGGGGCTCTGTCCATGGTGAGGGAGTTTATGGGGAAGTAACACAGGCATCCTCCTCCTCTCAGGTTCCTTGTTGAGATTAAAGACACATCAAAGGCTCTGGAGGATCGGTGCACCCTGTAGGTGTAAGGGCAGGGAGTACCCGTCCATCAATTGTGGGCCTTATGTTTATTTAAGATAGTGCCGGTTGATGGCGGTCAGAGGGCTAGGCGTGTGGTACAGTTTGAGCTCTGCTTTCATGCTTTGACATAAAACCCAGCTGTGCCCCTGACTCCTGTTATTGAGACTGTCTGGATTCAAGTTATAGAGAAAGGCTAGATTACCTTTATGCTTGGCTAATTCGCAGAAACTTTTATCCAGAGTGACTTAAAGCACAGTTTTAGTACACGGATGGCCCCTCTAGAGCAACTTGAGGCCAATTGTGTTACTTAAAATCGTTCAAACTAGCTGAATTTTTATCACTATAGTTAAGAGTTTATATCCCTGTGTGTTTATGTGAATTTTGGAAGATCACATAAAAATTCTGAATGGAAACACTGAGATAAAATTTCCAAAATGTGCATTAAAAATTACTTCTAATGTCAGATTTATCCTATAGCATGTGAATACGTTACATCGTTGTTTTATGCTTAATAATAATAATAAAAATGACATGTTGTTATTTGGCTTAGGCTCTCTCTTTATGCCTTGCAAGTGTTTTATTAGTTTATTTTTTATTTTCATTCTTTTTTTTTTTAGTTATTAGGCTGTTATTTAGAGTGATATGTTTTACTTTTACGCCTGAATATATGTGTCCTTCTTGCAGTTTAAACATCTTCGTTGTTTATAATAGAAGCAATCTAGTTTTGTCACTTCATGTCGCTTACTTGTAAGAACCATTGTCACACATAATGCATAAACTCTAATTGTAGAATTATTCAATTGAGAATGATTTCAATCGTGTTTGTTATTAAATAAAGTAACAAAATAAGTAATGACTTATGGTGTAAATTGTAAAAAGTACATGTTATTTTGCATGTTCAGTCCTAAAAGTAATCCTGAACTTTTTACTTTTCATTTTCCTTTTTACTTCCAAACCACTCAACCACTGATTACTTTTATAATTGATTGTAATTTTTAAACCCAGACAGCATTTACTGTTGGATAGGGTGTATAAAGCAGTTAGCTTAAGAAGTTAGCTTAAATTTAATCAAAAGGACGGACCTCATCTGTTGAGCTCTTCTGTTGGTCCGGTGATGATCTTAAGTCTGCGCAGGTTTTAAAAACCCCATGCAAACACATATGGGGCTTAGAAGCAGCAGCTCTTTCACTAATTAGACAGTCTTATTAAGTGGCCCAGTCTGAGTAACTGCTGTGAGGAGGGAAAGATGTGATCTTTTATCATTTCAGCACTTGGTTTGAGCCTTTATTCCCTCCTTATGGAAGGCTTAATCAAATGGACTGTATTCTCTAAGGTTACTTGTCCTTCTCTTGCCATTGTACACAATGCCACATTTAATATAAGTCATATGGTGCGTCTGCTGATGTAAATTTTCTACAGCTCTGAGAGATTACGGAAAGTAGTAAGACAAGCTGAATCAAGGTCACATACAAGTCTCATCTTCATGCTGCTGGACCCAAACAAATGAGACATTGCTGTCGCCCCGCTCACAGTGTTTGAACTGGCAGGATGGAGTAAACAAACCAATGGAACAAACCTTGTTTCACATTAAGGACACTGATCCTGGTGTATTTCTTCACATCTGAATGTATAAAAGGGTTTGGTTTGGTTTCAGGATGTTTGTCTCTTTGCCAATCTCCGCCCCTTGGGTGTAGTTTTTCAAATGCCGAATTTAAACAATTAATCTCTAGGCCCACTGTTGGGAACAAGAAGTATACAATTTCAGGATTTCCATAGCAACAGGCAGCCCTTGGTCTTAGGGCTACTAACTAGCTTTTCTTCTCTGTGGTCTATTCAATGGTTTCACTGTGAACTCTTTTGTTCGGCAATTGACACGGTCAGAGTACATAACTGCAACTGAATAAAATCCTTGTTAGTAACCAGAGGCTCTTTACATGGGCCCCAGCTGATCCAAGAGACAGTGATCTGCTTAAAATTGTTTGTTTACGTATGTATTGTTGATTTGAGTTAACAGTTCTCACTTGTTTGGATCTTAAAAGTGCATTTAGTAATTTTTTTATGGTCTTGGAGTGATACCGACAACTAGAGGCATAAATTCCTTCACATCCCTCATGCCTTGCGTCTTAGTTTAAAACTTTGTTTAGTATTCATTACATATTTAAGTTTTTTATTTATGCTTTCTGCTAGCAATAAGTGTCTTGTACTCTTAGTTCCTCTTTACTCCCACAGATTTCCATATTTAAATCCAATTTGCAGAATTCCTCAGACATTTTACCCTAAAATCGGTGCAGAAAATGTGGAAAGAGTGTGCCGATTTCATCTAGGCCTGGTCATGTGACCTCAGTATGGCGGCCCCCATGAAGTGATCTTCAAGTTAAATAAAAATTTGTAGGCTACTGGTATGATTTTGATATGTCTTTATCCATGTAAATGTGCATTTACATTCCAAATTTTTAAATATTATATTATATAATATACTTTAATGCAATAATATTTAAATTTTTTTTTGTGATTTCAGTGCATGTTTAATTGTTTATTGTTTGAGCTATATAAACTTAACTCAACTTCCATCCATCAATCTAAAGGACATTTTATGTGTTTCCACAGCTGAGTTTCTGTCCAGCTTGGGCCAGTATGAGATCGCCATCCCAGTGCGTGTGGGGCCACATGGGGAAACGCTATCGGAAGAGGAGACCTCTCACAGGAATGGCCGACACCGGCGTAGCACGGAAACGCAGAGCGTTCCAGAGCCGCAGCTGTACTATCAACTCTCCACATCGAGCGCTGACCTTTTGCTCAACCTCACGCTGCAGGGAGGACTGCTCTCGCGACAGTTCCGTGTGGAATACTGGAAGAGGGGGCGCTTGGCTTGGAGTCACCCATACTTGCCCAGCTGCCACTATGTGGGTCACCTGCAGCACCAGCCTCACTCTAGTTCTGTGGCTCTTAGCAACTGTAATGGCCTGGTGAGCTCCTTTGGAATTTTGAAACAAACGGTGATGTGTCTCAAATTATGTGCTAATTACTGTGCACTTAACCTACGCATACAATATGACATCATATGCAGAAGTCCACAAAATGGGCTACACCTATAGCCTTAAAGGAATATTCCAGGTTCAATAAAAGTAAACTTAATCAACAGCATTTATGGCATAATGTTGATGTATAAAGCAGAAATGTGAAGTTTATAATTTTATAAAAGTACTTAAAGGCACAATATGTAATTTTCGCCGCTAGAGGGCACGTATTCAAAATAAACAAATAGACAAAGGCGTAGTTTGATGACGTGTGGAATCATGGGACTCGGTCAGAAATCATGTTCATGGATGAGCTAATGACTTATTAACGTAGTAGTATGAAGCAGGGGGAGGCTGAAAGCCGTCGAAGCGAAACGAGGCCGCTGAACGAGTGTGACACACGGCTCGAAAGCAGCGGAGCTTTTATTATGCCACAGTCGACCGCTTCCGCTCCTTCCGGTCGTGCGTATGTGGGGGGAAAAAAGCAGCACTGTTTTATCATACTAGATACATTTGAAAGTTCTGTTATAATGCTACTCTGTGCGGTCGTCACCGGTCGATTAAAACGCACGACATATTAAAGCATCTTTGGTGATTCCATGTTTTCTACAAAACAAAACCGGAAATCGAGGGCTTATGACGTCATTGGCAGGCGACTCAATGACACTATGGACACGGTCCATGTCACTAGTTAAAATTGCTTATTTCTCTGGATTTAAACATTCTTCGAAACATTTGGGACACAAGTCAGCAAAATATATAACACTGTTCTAGTGGTTTTTGGATATTTTAATAAAAAAATCGTACATATTGTGCCTTTAAATTGACTCTTTTAATCAAACTTTGATGTATTATACAACGTAATCACTTTCTTTCTATACTCGAGTGAGTTGTCGTGGCTCCCCTGTACATTAGAAATGGGCAGGTGTTGCTAAAGTCTGTCTCTCCCAGCTGGTGTAAAGCTCAACTCTAAAAACAGGTGTTTTGGAGAATAATGATGGATTTAGTTTCAAGCAGCATGCTGTGGCTTGCTCATTACTTGCCTGAGCTGGTAATACACCTGCGTAAACAGATTGCAAAGTCAAGACCAATGCTTGTTTATCCAGACCCTTTGAGTATACTGTTAAATCTCTCTGATAAATGCCATCTGACATCCTGGATACAGTATTGGGCGATTCAACTACCTGGCATCACAGGTGCTAATACATGACTGGCCTGGTCGATAATTTATCCATTTTTAATCGTGTGTGCACCAACACAAGTAAATACAATGGAGGATTAAGCTTGCTCATGAAGGCGGTAAGAAACTTCCAGGTTAATTATTGGTGATCAGAGTAGCATGACTAAATTCATCAGGGAATGCTCAGTGTGTCCACAAGAGCATCACTAAGCACATTACAGGATTATGTGGACTTGAAAAGTGTGACCGAGAGAGATGAAGAGAGGAAACAATGAAACATGCTAAGATCCTTTGGCCAGCCTCCATGAGTTCCCATTTCATCCAGGATTATTAGCCTAGCGCAAGCTCATTATTTTATAGGGGAGACTAATGATGGGATGATTTGATCTTGTCAGGGACTTCAATGTATCTAGCTTGTAAAATCAGATTGCCCAGGGAAGCCAACTGTTTCGTTTTTTCACATGCAAGCAAAAGTATATCATACATTTCAATGTCAGACCTTTCATGCTAATCTGAATCTATGGTTTCTTGTGTTTTTTCAGCAAGGGGTCATTGTGGCTGCAGGTGAGGAGTACCTTATCGAACCCTTGGTTTCTGCTAAAAACATCACTAATGAGGATGGCAGAGAAGGGCACCCCCATGTGGTGTACAAACGGTCATCTCTAAGATACCAAAACATGGACCAGTCCTGTGGAGTCATTGGTAAGAACTAAAAAGGCCATGAAGATGTTTTTTAAACCTTTTAAGCATCAAATCACAAGAGAAAATTGTGTTCGCCAACCCATTTCATGGGGTCTTTCAGTATGTATGGTATCCCGTTTTAATCATAACATTAAAGTCACATTATAATGGAAGTAGAAATTGATATTTTACCGCATTTTGTGACATACATCTGAGAGAAACAGATTGTTGAAAAATGATGGGCAGGAATTTGGTTCTGTCCATCAGTTGTGCATTGAATGGAGGCAGATTTGAATGACGAGCTTGTACGTAGTCGATTGTAAGAAAGAGGTGGGGTTTAAGCACACTAAATGATTGGAGAAGTCTGGCATACGTCACCAGAGAGAAGTCTGCCCTTTCATCAGAAGCTCAAAGAATTCATTTAGAAAAAAAGATAGGGTGAATTTACATTTCATGCTAACCAAATCGAACTTATTTGGGACACTGCCAGGTTTATAGGTAAACTTAACATAACTACCTTATTGAAAGTAATTAATCCAAAGTCAGCTCATTCACAATTTGAAGTTACGCTAGAAGGATTTTGTATTTGTAAAATAGCATTAAGTTCTGGATTGAAGGCACTTTTTTCATCACAAGATTTTAATAAAAACTGTAACTACAGAGTTTTGCTCATTGTGGCTGTTTCTCTTTAGATGAGAAGCCTGGTAAGAGCTATGGATGGTGGCAGAGAACAATAAAGCCCTCACCCAACCAGATGGGACGGGGCCAGTTACCACTGAAGCGTTCTGTCAGTCGAGAGCGCTACGTCGAAACTCTCGTGGTGGCCGACAAGATGATGGTCAGCTATCATGGCCGTCGCGATATCGAACAGTACATTCTGGCTGTCATGAATATTGTAAGCTTCAACTCTCCTTGTTCTTGTGTGCATGCTTAAAGGAATAGTTGACACAAAAATGAAAATCTTGTCACTCCTCATGTCTTTTGAAAACCCATATCACTTTCTTTTTTCCTTGGACACATGGAGTTATTTATAGCAGAATGTCCAAGCTGCTCTTTTCCATACAATGAATGTGAAAGATTCATCAAGTCAAGAAAATTTTCAAAAGATTTTAGATTTTGATCTGTTCCTCACAAAGCTATCATATGGGTTCTGCATGTAAGTTAAATGAAATACTTTCTGGACGATTTTTTTGGTGCTTATTTGGGATTTGACTACCCCTGGTTTCTAGTTGCTGTCTTTTTATGGAAGAAAACTGTTCGGACATTGTGCTAAACTCTTCGCCGGTTACTTGAGAGCCTTACAAAGACCTAAAATGAACAGTCTGCAATGTCCCACAGACTAAGTGAATCTTCAGAGGATGTTTGACCTATCCAGGTCATTTGTTTTGGCTCAGAGAATAATGATTAAATGAAAACCAAGTAACTGTCTTCTGTCACTCTGAGGATCCATATTTCTCTCTCCAATTTATAATCCCCATGGGCGATTTGTGGCATTGTTACAAATGGTTTCACACCTGTGGAATGTGTTTAATGAAGGGATTACCTCACCTCGCTGCCCCAGCGCAGCAGTTAGCACTGGTTTTATAGTAGACTGTAAACTGTCCATCTTTACAGTAAACAGCAGGATTAGAAAGGTCTAAAAACAGACAACTGGCTCGTTTTTAAGACTGGTTTTTTCTTGTTTCCCTGGAGGTCAGGTTGCCAAACTGTTCCAGGATTCTAGCCTGGGGAATGCAGTGAACATCGTTGTGACGAGGCTTATTCTACTGATGGAAGACCAGGTACTCTTACTGAAGCACATTTGCCTAGAGGACTGTTACATTTATTACATTTGCCTGATCACAGTATTTGTGCACTTTAAATTCCAGTCACGCATTACCATTCAAATAGGGACATTTTAAGTGAACATAGAAATGCGATAGCATGTTTCAGTTTCTGGTGCAGCAGTGTGTTATGTGAGATATAAACACCTCTGGTGTGCATGCATCATTTGTGAAAAGTATAAACAATGGTTTAACATGCATTGTGAATGCAACGCTCTGGCTTCACTTTATTTTAAAGTGGTGGTTGATTATTGAAATTTTAGTTAGTGTGTAATGTTGCTGTTAGAGCATAAGCAATGTCTGCAAAGTTACAATGCTCAGAGTTCAATGCAAAGGGAGATATTTTCTTTTAAACAAATTGCTGTTTAAGGACTACAAAAAAAGGCTTGTAGGGACTACAACGAGCTTCTTCCTGGGTTTGTGACATCATTCACTAACCCCGATGTTTACATAAACCCTGCCTCCTGGAACTGTTTTGACAAGAACGGAAACAGTGGTGTAGAAGGTAAAATATGTGAAAATGTTATACTGCACCCCAAAAACACAATCAAGCCTTTGAAAAAAGCTGATCAATCACCCCTTTAATATAAATTATAAATATTATAGTATAATATACAAATTATAAATACATTATTTTTACATTTTGATTGAAGGATTTAGGATAGAAATATACACAATTGTTAAAAAGTTTGGGGTCAGTATGTTTTTTTGTTTTTTTTAATCCAGCAAGATGCTTTAAATTGAACAAAAATGACAGTAAGGATTTTAGATTGTTTGACAAGATTTCTAATTTAAATAAATACAGTTCTTTTGAACTTTCTATTCATCAAAGAATCCTGAAATGTATCACAATTTCCACAAAAATATTAAGCTGCACAACATTAAGTAGTTTTATATTAATATGTAGTTTTATATGTAAATGTATATGTAAAACTACATATTAAAATATAAAAAAATATATTTAAAATATTGTTATTCTTGCAATTCTAGCCCTGTGCAATATTTAAAAACTTTGTAAAATCCTGAATGAAACGTACACTTTATTGTATAATTCCAAGAACATGTGCATTAAGCTTACTAGCAACATAAGCAACATTTATTGCAAATATTTATACACAAATTATTCATCAGACAAAATTTCATGATTGTGACAGCCCAACACATACACATATAAGCCTTACGGCCCGTTCACACCAAGAACGATAACTATAAAGATAACTATATTAGCGTCCACACCGATTCTGCGATTCTGTCCACACCAGCGGACGATATCGTCTGTTTATTCCAAGCGCACACTCGTCTGCTGCTTTAAATTCTCGAGCTTGTTATGGCAGGATTGATTCTGATTGGCTTTTAATGTTTTTATCGTTCATCAGCTGGAAAAAATCATTCTGAAAGTGATTCCAACTATATCATTTCTCTGTGCCTTTATCGTTATAGCTGCGGTGTGGACTCTGCTATTCTTTAATATTGAGAACGATTTTTAGAACTATATCTTTATCGTTATCTTTATAGTTATCATCCTTGGTGTGAACAGGCCTTTAGTCTGGCTTATTTCACCTGTCAAAGAATTCCTTGTTTGTGTATTTACAGGCAAAAGCGTCCTAGTCTGAGGCAGTTGAGACAGTCCGCACAAGTCTGGACTGTTTGCTACCTGGTTCTGCTGGGTGTGTCTAGAGAACCTGCCATGACTGCTCTTATTGTTGATTATGACCTCTCATTTTGCCACACTCATGAATGTACAGGGCCTTAAAAAAATGTGTAAGAAATCGAGAAAAATCTGAAGGGAAGCCAAACTGTACTGCTACTGTTCTCGCCGCCTGCTTTTAAATGCAATCAATCTGCCTCTGTCATGCATTCAGGCTTCCACCTCTGTCCTGAGCGGGGCGTGACGACACCACATGAGCGAGTTGGCTCGCTCCGCGGGATCTCTGGAATACGTCGACCTCAAACAGGCTCCTACAGACGACGCAGGGCAGGGAAAGGATAGGAGTGGGGTTTTGCGGTGTATTTAATGACGCATTAATGATCCCAAATCGCAGACAGCTAAAAATAAATCCCCTGTAATTTGTTCCGCATAATGTCATTTGACAAATGATGGGAGACCGGTCATTAGGAGCAGTATTAGCCGTGTTGAGATAACTACCGCGTGGCGTGCTGAGGAACCAAACATGGTTCGTTTCCAGATGAGAACACCCCACCACCCCCTGTGGTAGAGGAAACCTGGAAAGTTAGGATTCTGAGCACTGGATTGTGGGATGATACAATTATAGACTATGCCAATGTGTGTGCATTCCTAGGTTACGATGCTGTGGCCATCTTGGGTCTTTTTGTACATTCTAGCAGTGTGTTTGTTGTGTCTGTATTATCATACAAGCCCTCATCAACTGTAAACTCATCAATAAAGCAGAGAAATGGCTCAGAGCTGTGCATGTTTAAAGCTAAAGAAGCTATAAGTTGTACCTTAAAAAGTTAGACTTATTGCGGGTAACTTGCATCTCTAAAACAAAGCATCTCTATGGACTCCTTCTCAAAGAGCTCAAAATATTATAAAGCGGAATTTATGTTAAAATAGTTTCTCCAATTGCAGTTAAAATGTGCTGTCACATTTACAGAAAGGTCCACATGCTGGGACTCAAACTCATGGTGCCTGAATCACAACGCATATGTCGGCAAGCTGCCCAAAAGTCTATCCGCACAGACTGCCACATTTACTTTCATATGAAAAAAGTCCCCTGGTGAATTGGATCTCTTTAGGAATTCACATGATTGGAATTTTGCATGACTTGTGAGGAGAAATTCCCATGCAAATTTCACATCAGGTTCATGTTTGTTGAACGTTTAATACTAAATTTGCTGCATTTACTGTTATAAAGCTGCTTGCTTCATGTATTGCTAATTTGCTACACTACATATGGACCGTTTTTCCTTGTGAATTTTTTGGTAGACATTTTTGCTGATTTGATCTCACCTTAAGGTGTAGACACTATACGTGAGCCATATGCATACTTTTGGTAGACATTTTTGCTGATTTGATCTCACCTTAAGGTGTAGACACTATACGTGAGCCATATGCATACTTTTGGTAGACATTTTTGCTGATTTGATCTCACCTTAAGGTGTAGACACTATACGTGAGCCATATGCATACTTTTGGTAGACATTTTTGCTGATTTGATCTCACCTTAAGGTGTAGACACTATACGTGAGCCATATGCATACTGTACCAATGGCAAATGGAAGAAGTGTTCTGTGAAACCTTTTTGAAAACAATCATTACTTATGCAGTTTTTTTTTTGTACAGAATTGAAATATTTCAGCTTAAAGAACCAGCATATTGTCAACTGTTAAAAAGAAGTCCAGTATCAGCCTAGTTGGGAAAACTTTTTAGGGTCTTACTGTACTACAAATACATATGAGCATGCACATACATTTATCTCATCAAATTATACACAAAGAGTACGATGTATATCCAAGTTTATCTGATCCAAATTTTTCCTTTCCTCTCTTGCCAGCCCACACTAGAGGTAAACCATCATGCAGGGAAGTCTTTAGACAGTTTCTGCAAGTGGCAAAAGTCCATCCTGCACCGGAACGGACATGGGAATGCCATCCCTGACAATGGAATCGCTCACCATGATACAGCAGTCCTCATCACCAGGTCAGCATATTTCAGTATACGCTTTTAAAAACTTTTTCAACACACACACTAATATCTGTCTAATATTTTGTAGCACTCCATTGGTTCTACAAGGCAACAGGTCATAATTTTAAAAAGGCTGTAGTGTACTTGAAGTGTGTGTTTGGAAGAACAAGCGATTTATGGTAAATCATGCTTTAGCTTTAATCTACACAATGAGGAGTTAGGTTGAATTCCTGTGCCTCAGAGTTGAGTGAGAGAGATAACATGTGAAGTATGAGAAAGAAATCGAGAGTGAGAGTGAAAGAGAGAAGCAGAGAGAAAGAGAAATTGTGGGAAGTGTTGAGTCTTTATATTGGAGGCTTATATCAGAGGGTATGTCTGCTGAATGCATCAAGCATTTCCTTTCATTGTCTTCACTCTCTTATCAGGACAGTGTCTAGTCTGTGACCTGTCTCACAGTTCTAGTATCTGTGTGTGTGTGTGTGTGTGTTCTGTGGAAACCCAAGCAGTTTATTCACCCAAAAATAAAAAAAACATCATAAATATTTCTCTGGTGTGTTTTCAGGTATGACATCTGCATCTACAAGAACAAACCCTGTGGAACACTTGGTAAGACATCCATCTATCCATTTAACCAATCCATTCAGTTGTCCAATCCATCCATCCTATCATTTCATCCATTCTACCAATCTATCCAATCTGTCCGTCCTACCAATCCATCAGCTCAACCAATCCATCCATTCTACCAGTCTATCCAATCCATCCATCCATCCTACCAATCCATTCAATCATCCATAATTAATTGCCTTATCTGTCTGCATATATTAAGTATTTGCTTATTCATTGCTGATTTCTCATTTCTTCTCTGTTCATAACAAAGCTAATCGAAGGTTTATTGGTACTGTATTGTCTTTTAATTTTGATTAGTTTGTAGAGAATAATTAATTAATTAACTAATCAGCAGTACTGTAGTAGGATTTGCATATATGTGTATTTGCATATCCACCTTATTTTTCATTGTGGAAGTAAGCTATTTCCTGTGAATGTGTGAATGTGTGGAACTTCCAATCAATTAGCCGCTACAGGTAAACAACTATAAGAATAAACAGTACAGTCAATTGTAAAACTATATGTGCAATAAAATGTGTTTGTAATTGTGATAAAAATATGATAATATGATAACAAATATACAAGTTTGCAATTTCAATCAACATACATTTTTGTACAGATGAAATAACTGAAAGCGGCTGACAATGTAAGCCAAGTTAAAAAGACCCGGCCCACTCTTACGTTAAAAATAAGGTGGATAGTGTTGTAGCATATATGTGTATGTGTGTGTCCATGTCACTGTGCTCGTGTGCACACATGTGTCCGTATCAGGATTGGCACCTGTTGGCGGTATGTGTGAGCCAGAGAGAAGCTGTAGCATCAATGAAGACATTGGTCTGGCCACTGCTTTCACCATTGCACACGAGATAGGACACACGTGAGTCTCTTCCAATTCCTCAACTTCCTTGCTTACATCTTATGTTCCTCTGTTCCTGCGTGTCTTTTGGCCTGAATTTTGATGATTGATGCTGTTTACTTTGGGTCAAGAGGGAACTGCAGGGGGTTTGTGAATTAATTAAAAGCTAATTCATTAAATGATAAACATGTCAAATGAAAATAAATACAGAAATGTAAAATAAAATGAAATGCTTACTAAAAATGATTCAAAATTTCATTTTTACCTGCATTTAATGTGACCAATAACCAAAGTCAGAGAACTGTGAACATGCAAATGTGTTGTTCAATTATTGAAATATTAACTTAAAATCTCAGAAGGCATTAAGTATTTTAGTTCAAAGGGATTCTGCTGACAAAAAAGTTTGGGAATCCCTGATGTACCTAAACTGACAAAATTATGTTGGTATATAGTATATTCCAAAACCTTTTGAAGCTCTACTATAAGCCAGCATTACATCAGCTCTCTTAAATTCCAGTTTTGCCTACTTGAGTCATCAGGGCATACCCTCTCAACTCTGACCTTAACATTTGACCTCTACTCTGAGTGGCCTACCAAAATAAACTTGGGTTAAATTCAAGGATGATCTCTAAAGCCACTAGACAAATACAAATAATGCTCTTAATGCTTTTAAATACAAATAATGCTCATTATCAACAACTGCACTAATATTTTCTCTCAGTCTTGCAATATTTATATCTTGCCCACTGCTCCGGGTGTGTGTTCACAGTATGTGTGTGTGCACTTGGATGGGATAAATGCGAGCACAAATTCCGAGTATGGGAAACCATACTTGGCTACACGTCACTTTCACTTTCATCTGAATTTATGGGCACGCCTGGTTGATATCACACTTCGGAATATTTCCCTGAAAGGCAGTTGTGTTGTCATTTCTGCTGCTTTGGTAGTTGAAAAGCATTTTTTCCCCATCGTTGTATGGATCTGAGCTCTGTTTGTGCTGGGTCATTCAGCACATTGACCCAGTCTATTTTGTATATTTTTATACAATTCTTTTTATTATCTGTGTCCTGTCTTGTCACTGTCATTCTGTTGCACTGTGGAGCTTCTGTCACTAAAACAAATTCCTCGTATGTGTAAACATACCTGGCAATAAAGCTCATTCTGATTCTGATTCTGACATTGTTGCCTTGGCTACGCTCATGGGCTTCGGAGCTGTTTTCATAGGTGGTGAAGTCATTAGTGATCTGGTCCTTATGGTTCATCCAGGTCCCTTTGAACTGATGGCCATATGACGCTGCACACTGCGGCTGTCTAGACTAGGGGGCATATGTTTAACTGTGTATAGGATTGCATAGGTTTGTGAGAGGTGCTGATAGGTTTGGGTATGTATGTTCACATTCTGTAACCAGGACCATGGGATTCCATTTTTATAATTCCATAAAATCATTCATCTCTCTCTTTCAGGTTTGGGATGAATCATGATGGTGTTGGCAATGCATGTGGGGTGCGCAGTCAGGAGACTGCTAAACTCATGGCTGCCCACATCACCATGAAGACTAACCCTTTCGTCTGGTCTGCCTGCAGCCGCGATTACATCACCAACTTCCTCGAGTGCGTCTGCTGCCTCAGTCTGAGATCTGTATTTTCACTGAGACATATTGGATTTAGTGTGAAATATTGACCGTATCATTACTCAATTTTAGTATCATAAATTTCCAAAGGATTGGATTATAAAAATGATTGATGTGAATGTCTGTTTAAACTACAACATGATCGTCTGAGTTTGTGTTTACGAGGCATTTGTTACATGAGGTGCTTAATAATGATAGACCAATATACAGGCTAATTAATATTTGGCCATTGTAAACTATGCCTGAAATCTTCTGATAGCTAGTTCACATTTTCTGTTTTCAAATATTTTAGTGAATATTTGTTGTACATTTTAATCCAATTTTATTTCTTTTCATTTTAAATATTGTTTCTTTTTATAGACTACAGTAAAGACTTTTTGTTGTTACAAAAAATCTATTTCAAATATGTGCTGTTTTATTTTGATAAACTTTATATTTAACTGTTAATATTTAACTGGTTTCAAACTGATAATAATAAGATATTTCTTGAGCACCAAATCAGCATATTAGCATGATTTCTGTAGGATTGTGTCACACTGAAGACTGGAGTAATGGCTGCTGAAAATTCATATTTGCTATCACAGGAATAAATAAAACTTTAAACTATATTAAATTAGTATCAAAATAGTCTGTGGCACTTTTGCGTAAATTTCTTACTATGATGATTAAAATAGGTTTCTAACCATCAAGGCTGATTCACTCTGCCACAACAAATGTAAACAAGAGTTAACACACTGATCCAAAAAAACAAAAAACAAAAAAACAATTGTTGGAATTTAGTGTTTGTTGGCATCAGGGCAGCATGAACTAGCCTTTACATTTTCATCACTTCTCACACACCCGTTATGTTTTCCTTCTGATTGTTTCTTAGCTCTGGCATGGGTTCCTGCCTGAACAATGCTCCCCCCAAGCAGGAATTTGTTTACCCCACCACAGCCCCTGGCCAAGCCTATGATGCAGACGAACAGTGCCGCTTTCAGTACGGAGTGAAGTCTCGTCAGTGTAAATACGGGGTACTTGCATCACTCAGTGTAATCGACAACAGTTCTTCACCCAAGAAAGAAAATTCCATCATCATCATCTATTAAAAATGCAGATGAGCATGATTTTTGACAATGGTACCATGACAATACCATGTTTTTTCTGATCTACCTTTCAGATGTTTGGGGTCAGTAAGATTAAATTTTCTATTCATCAAAGAATCCTGCAAAATGTATCAGTTTTATTTTAATTACATTTTTCAAAAACATTAAAAAAAAATCCAAAACCCCAAACTTTTGAATGGTAGTGTACATCACCATACAAGAACAGCATTGTTTTAGACATTAGAACATAGATATTCTATGTTTACAGTATCAGTAACAAAAAATACCTTGGTAATACTATGCATATGCAATGTTTTGTCTTCAAAAGGCATAAGATAACTTTTTGTGTTAGAGTCATGATTTGCTAGAACATTTTATTTTTATTTTTTGGTGAACTATTCAAAACATGTTTAAAATATTTCTTTTTTTTAAATCTGTAAAATAATCTTTTTTGTATATTGACTCTTTTTAAAATATCTCATTTAGAAGTATATAACCATCCTACTGTAAGACATCTATGCTCAAGTAGAGTCTTTGTACAGATGAATTGTGGGTTATGGTCCTATCCAGGTTGCCTTTACAGGTGCATCTCAATAAATTAGAATGTTGTGGAAAAGTTCACAGTAAATCATTTAGCGCACTCTTTATCTCTCTCTCTCTCTGTAAATCTGCACCAGATAGTCGTTCTACCTTTCGCTGGCTGTAATATTCCATCTTTTTGCTCTCCCAAGACTTCAGACACTGGCATTCTGCCACTTTTGTCCAAAACCACAAGTTGGTCAAAAGTTTGCTTCTCTTTGGTTTGCGGCTCTATTCTCTGCCAGCCAAGCTTGACCCTTACACCTCCACAGACCCACAATGGAGCTCAGAGCTCAGTCTGTATAGTGTGCTATATCTGCTCTTGTTGAGTCAAGCTTTAGGTATTGACTGCTTTATGGGATACCAGTGCAGGAAACTGAACATCTGTAGGAGGATAACACACTAGTTCAGCTATCACTGTAACTATGTAGTCTAATAAAGCAGGAAGTTGTTAGGTAGGTCTGAAGTGCAGTGTGTTCTTTACATTTAAGGGGACATCTGATCTACATCAGAAACAAAAAGAGTACCATGGTATGAGTACAACATGCTAAAAATGCTCAGAACACCTTAGCATCCACATAGCCACATCGGAAGACGTTGTTTGGTGAAGGAATGTCCCATTTCTGCTCTTTCCACACATTTCTTCAGTCTCATGAGTGTTTCTTAAGGTCTGTTTTTTCCTAGGGTGACCATACGTGCCATTTTTATGGAACACGTCCTGGACAGGATTTCTATATTGCCTAAAATATCCAGGTTTTGGCTGTTAGCGCTGCACATACCGATCGGTGTATGACATCCGTGAGAGCTATAAAGTGCAGACGCTCCTTAGCTTTCGAATCGCTCTCGCGGTACTTTGATGTCAACCACCGATCGATCTGCGCAGCGCTGCTTCAAGTCGAACGAACACATCTAATCTGTGTGCGTATAGTTGCATCGATTTGACCGTTCTCTGTAGATCCCACCTTCTCACGCGCCACGATTGGTCGATTATGTACAATGCCTGCAGGTTATTGGTCAAGCTACTTTTCGATCATTACCTTCAGCAAGTATGAAAACAGGAAACAAAGCATAATATAGAAATCCTGGCCAGGACGTGTCCTGTAAAAATGGCACATATGGCCACCCTAGTGTTTTCTGCCTTATCTGGAGTTTTGTTTAGTGGCTTGTGTGTGTGTGTTCAGGAAGTGTGCAGTGAGCTTTGGTGCATGAGTAAAGGGAATCGCTGCATCACCAGTAGTATCCCAGCCGCCGAGGGCACCATCTGTCAGACCAGCACCATCGAAAAAGGGGTGAGCACAAGGAATAGCAGAACACAGCCATGTCTACTGTTTTATGTTGATTAATGCTATTTTCTCATTAGTGGTGCTACAAAAGAGTGTGTGTGCCATATGGAACACGTCCGGAGGGGGTAGATGGTGGGTGGGGCCACTGGTCGCCATGGGAGGAGTGTAGTCGCACCTGTGGGGGCGGAGTCTCGTCCTCTATTCGCCATTGTGACAGCCCCAGGTGAGTCAGGCTCATGTGATTGATTAACACTGTTTGATTGGACAGATCATTAGTGGCATTATTCAGTGACAATGGTCATATGCTACATTGTGTGAATGACAATGTTCAAAATGGAATACAGCTTGCTATTTACTGAATACTGCACAGTATGCTACCTACTATTTTTTTTAAAACAGTAAGTGGAAAAAATAGGCATTATTTGATTTTTCTACATTGTCATATTACCTCATTATGTTGTATGTGTGGGGCATCCAGTTAAAGCATCGTAAAAAAAAATTTTTTTTATTCTAATTTTGTGTAAAAATATCTAATATATAACTAATCAAATAATCTGTCAAAAATGAGATGACATTACTTATGGTTCATTTATCACAATGGAAATGGAAGGCCAATCAAGCGTGTTGCATTATGGGATACAGTATTCTGTGCAGTGTAGTTGGACATCCAAGTATTTTATGTATACAGTATAAAATTCTGTTCCGAAGTTTGCGGTCATTTTCTTTTAAATAAGAAATTAAAGGGGTCATATGATGCGATTTCAATTTTTCCTTTCTCTTTGGAGTGTTACAAGCTCTTGGTGCATAAAGAAGATCTGTAAAGTTGCAAAGACTAAAGTCTCAAATCCAAAGAGATATTCTTTATAAAAGTTCAGAGTCAGCCACACCTACCTAAAACGGCTCGTTCTAACACACCCCAACATACCTACGTCGTTCTGTGGGAAGATATGCATAACGCCGCCCAAATGTTCACGTATGTGGAAAATAATGTGTTTTTTTTACTTTAAACCGCATAAACACATTTCATTACACCAAATACACAAAATAATGTTCTTTTTAGCAGCATCATATGACCCCTTTAATACTTTTACCCAGCAAGGACACAGCAAACGGTTTAAAGGTGACAGTGAAGACATTTAAAATGTTAACCTAACAAAACATTTAGATTTCAAATAAAGGTTCTTGTTAACTTTCTATGCATCAAAGAACCCTGAAAAAAGCACAACACTGATAATAATAAGAAATGTTTCTTGAGCACTACTTCAGCATATTAGAATGGTTTTTGAAGAATCATGTGACACTGAAGGCTGCTTTTTCCAGCACAGGAATAAATTACATTTTAAAATATAGTAAATTAGAAAACCGTTATTTTAAATTGTAATAATGCTTCACAATATTACTGTTTTTCTGTATTTTTGATCAAATAAATGAAGCCTTGGTGAGCATAAGATACATCTTTCAAAAACATTTAAAAAATCGTACCCACCCCAAACTTTTGAACATTAGTGTATACTGTATGAGTGATTTGATGATTCATAATGTTCTTACTCTCAGCCTGTTGTACACAACCTAGTCTGTCAACATGCCAGGGAAAATCGGAAAAACTAACAGAAAGACAGAAGATGTCTGGCTGAAATGAACTTGAGCAGAATGATTTTGTAATTTACATTTACATTTACATTTAGTCATTTAGCAGACGCTTTTATCCAAAGCGACTTACAAATGAGGACAATAAAAGTAGTCAAAACTAACAAAAGGGCAACAATATATAAGTGCAAATGACAAGTCTCGGTTAGCCTAACGCAGTACACGTAGCAAGGTATATATATATATATATATATATAGATAGATAGATAATACACACACATACACACACACACACACACAAAAGAAAAACAAGTAGATAGAATAGAAAAAAATAGCTAGTTTTTTTTTTTTTATAAAAAAAGAAGATAAATAGATAAAGTAGAATTAAATTATAATAGAAAGTGCTAGAGTTAGAGGGTCAAATAAAGATTATAATTAATAATAATTATTATAGTAATTGAGAGTTACATTGAAATTACACTCAGATGTATCTTATGCCTGTCTTTGTGTGGATGCAGGCCAACAGTTGGAGGAAAATATTGTCTGGGAGAGAGGAAGCGTTTTAGATCCTGCAACATTGATGTGAGTTTGATACCTGCACATCACTTACGGACTCCATTTGTGTGTGTATCTGTCTGACGTTTCTTCAAATAATTACTAGAACTTTGGTTTGCTTGTGGATGGATTCTGCTCCTCTACATTAGTTGACAACTGAAGACTGGTGCATTGGGCAAAATATTACACCTCTAAATGTGTAGACTTACTCCAATAGATGAAAAGGATTCACAGTTGCCATGCTCCACTATATTCTCAGACTGACTGAATTGTGTGTGGATTAGGAGTGCCCGGCTGGATCTCAGGATTTTCGGGAGATTCAGTGCTCGGACTTTGACAGTGTTCCCTTCCGGGGGAAATTCTACACCTGGAAGCCGTACAGGGGCGGTAAGTACACAGCCCTTTATAGCACCTGTTCTGAGACATACTGGTCGTGTCACTTTGATTTGTGTCACTTCGATTAGCCTGTTTTTACTCTGAACTGCTACAGTTCTGCCTTAAATGCACTATAAGTCTTACCACATTGGTATTGTCCTTTAAATGTGACCTATTTTACTGATACATAAAATAGGTCACTAAATTATATTCAAATGATATTCATGGGACCCTACATTATTTCTAGTTGGCATACCTTTTGTTAAACACAATAGAATTAAATGTTTAGACAAAGCCTATATGATTTTTACAATACAGTCCCATTAGTTAATGTTAGTTAATGCATTCATTAAATAATATTAACAGATAAAACTTTTGCTTTTAATAAAATTTCATTAACTAAGATTAATACTTGAGAGTAGTAGTAGTGAGTATTTCTCACAGCGAATGTCATGGTGGACACCCAAATCCACTATTTTATAAATAATGCTGTTTAAGGGTCACAGAATGTAGTTTTAAAGGGGTCATATGATGCTATTTTAAAGATCATTATGTTGTGTATTTGGTGTAACAGAATATGTTGACATGCTAGGCGAGAATGTAGTTGTTTAAACTTCAGATATGCAGTTTGTTAATAAAGATAATGTCTATTTGAACATTCGCTTCAATATTTTTGGAGATGTGAGCTCCAGGGTGTCAGCAGCCATTCAGAGCTTATGAAGCCGCCTAGAGCAGCCTCACCTCGGCCAGTTCTTCTGGAATTTGCCACTTGCTCTGATGTCTCTATAGTGGTTAAACATGAGATATCATTTGTTTTGGGTAAATGTAACGGGCAGTCTTTGGTCTCATTTATCTATTATTTGTTCCTGAGTAAATAGTTTTGGCTGAGGGCAAAATCTCATCACGTTATATTTTATACTTGTCCGTGACTAAATGTAAATGTAAATGTAAATTTTATATAACTTTAATGCTGTCTATTAGATCGCTGCCTTTGTACTTTTGACTGAATTGCTTATCAACTTTTATGATGGCTGTTGTTGTTGTTTATTAAATATTATTATTACTAAAAATGGCTGTCCCCTTAAAGAGTGCCATATTTGAGGGTATAGGGGGCGATTTCGGATACAGCCACTGTCTTTATGAGTGAGTCAGCAGTAAAGACTTTTATATTGAAAGAGACTGAAACAGGGTTGTAAACAAGGAAGTTATTTTTACTTTCAACAACACCTTGTAAGACGCAGCCAACAAATGCACTTTCAAATATTTGACTGGATGGCTAAAAATGATGGTTAAATAATTTTGAATCATTTGTGCCTACAGCCAAATCACAGCCGTGCTGATATACAGCCATATCGCCCTGCTACTCATGCTCATATATATATATATATATATATATATTTAAAATAATGTTTTAAAAGAAGTCTCTTATGATCAAAAATATGAAATATTCTGACAATTTACGATAAATGACTTCTAAATATATTTCATATATTCTAGGGTGACCTCCTGCAAACATTCTAATATTGAATATAATTTTCGCGCATCAGGGAGTTATCAATTAAATCACTATTAGTATTTAAATCACTTTGGATGCAGCTCGTGTTGGATGCAGGGTTGCCAAATCCGCATTTTTTGCACGGAATTGGGCTGATTTTAAACTGTTGCGGCGGGTTGATTTGGCTGTTGTTGTTGTTTATTAAATATTATTATTCAATAAATAATATTTTATATAAATTATAGTAGTATTTAATAATAGTATTTAGTATTGAGAAATGGTATGTGTTTGTAATGGTGATTTTAGTTACATTATTCCATCATTAGATGGTGACAAGAGACTGTCTTTATGAGTGAGTCAGCAGTAAAGACTTTTATATTGAAA